CACATTTTACACTGTAACCTAGGACAGACAGTGAAAGGCTGAGGACAGCAGCAGTAGTCAAGAGGACTATGCCCACTGAAACCCCAGTCTACTCTTGCTTTCTGCTACATTTCACCAGTTAACATATCCCGAGGAGAGCATCCTGTAGAGACAGTTCATGGCAACAGGCATGAACTTCAGCCTAGTATGACTTGATTAGGTTAGCACAAACAGAGAAAAGGTAAACAGCAGCAATGCCAACTATAGGCTAAGGCACCAGCGAGGACAGCAAGACCGGGAGATTGAGACAAGCAATGTGTACGAACAGACAACAGCTAGTCACCAAGCTGCTGCGACTTTGTGGAGTGAGCACTAGGAGCCTTCCCAGAGCAACACGCCAGACCATCGTTTTCTTCTATTTGTCTATAGACAAGTAAGCTTCAGATTTGTAACAGCTTGATTTAAAAACATATGCACAGCACGGGTGGGTGCGTTTACCTAATTTCACTGGTAAAGATGTAAGACAGACTGTATTTTAAGCTGCAAAGCAATTCCATAAGATGCTTTTGGACGCTTTCAGAATGTTTCCAAAGTGCTCTTGCGCTTTCAAGCCCAAGTAAATGAGGCACACTTATGAAATGGTCTTATGAAAACCTTAGAGAGACTGAAGAGTCTTAGATCAGGTTTAATAGGTGCTATGGGCATTAACACGCAGAACGTCAGCTGGAAAGATGTAACTCCTTGTAACTTCACTGTTTTACACATTTCTATCAGAGATTCAGTGTAACATATGGTGGGTGTACTTATGCTGCACTTTTTGTTAGAGAAATAAAGCCAGCAATGCTTTTATGAAAAAGCTCATCTAGTTTCTGGAACAAAAGCAATCACATTACTTGAGCAAACTACAATCCATACTTCTTTAAGAGAAGAAACTTTTCTATAGTTACTTCAAAAAGTACAGAAAGCGGTGCACTGACTGTATAAAGTCATAACCAGTTGGTTGCCAGTCCTTTACAGACCATAGGGACCTGTAGGGATCCCACTTCTTGTCTCCATTTGAAAGCAGTAACAACAGAGGGAGAAATGAAAATGGATACAAGCCAAGCCATACTTGGATCAGCTCTCCAATTCCAGCTCAGCAGAGATGAACAGTTATGATGACATGTTCTTACACTCTTCAGCTAACCTATGTGAAAGCCATTCTTGTTCAGAAACTGCAGCTACCTGGCTAGTCCCTACAGAAGGAAGGGATGGGGCAGGCTCACAGGGCTGAAATGAAGCCACACTTCCAAGGTGGCCATTTCAGCACTTAAAAAGTGCAAAAGCACTGGTCAAATTAGAAATATGCTGAATCGGAATATCCAGCCATGACTGAGACTATGACTTTTTTTTTTTTCTAAAAAGGAAAAATATTTGACAGACAATACAATACATACAGGACCACGTGACAAAACAGGTATACTGAAACTGAATAAATGACTTGTAAGAAAGAGCTCCTGTCTCCTGGTATTGTTCTGAGGCTGTGTGATAAATTTTCCTAAGACAATCAAGAAGTAATCAAAAGTGATTGTGTCACCTCAACTTAATGTGCACCACGCGCCAACAAGGCACCCATTTGCGCTTGTGCAGACATCCATCCCACTCAAGCTAGAGTATAAAGCACTGGTTTAGCCTCACACTTGTATTTCACCTACCAACCCCAGCTAACTAAACACAGCATACAAATCAGTGTGGCTCAGCTAATAAAGGCAGGTGAGTTGCCTGTGACTGTCCGTTGAGAGGCCTGGAAAAATCAGAATTTTTGTTTGTTTGTTTTGAGTGTTCATGCACACTTTGTAACAGGCAGCAGTGGTACAGGTTTTGAGGTCACAGGAACGCTTGTCATTCACTGCTTTTAAGAAAACTTAGAGCAGAAATGGAGAAGAATGCATACATTAAAATAGTAACTACTAATGCTCTTGGGTAATATGCCCAACTTGGTATGTATAACAAAATATTTTTTAAAAAATAAAATTAAATAGCTTCCTTGGGAAACAAAATTAAATCTGCACTTGCCTTTTTTTTTTTTTTTTTAAAAAAAAAAAAAAAGCTATTAATATGGAAGTTTCAGATTAAAAAGTCTTGCATTTACCTTTACCCTCCATGTCCAGAAACAGCTCTGGAACTACCGAGCACTGAGACAATTCAGTATGACAAGGGCAGCAGATGGTCTTTGGAGCGTAACTACGTCATGTCCCAGTTTTAACTCACGAACCACGTGTCTCCTCTTTCCCACTGTCTCATTCTGAAGCCTAGTTGCTGTTCGAGTCATTGTCTTCATCTTCTTTTCCAGACAGAGCACGTTTGGGCAAATCATTGGCTTCTCCCAAAGGAACAGCCCCTTTCCGCTGTGGCAAGACACTGAAAAAGGCCTCCTTCCAGTCTCTCTTCTCCAGGTAGGCAAGGATGATCTCAAACACTGCAACATCAAGACAGACCATCAGCTCTTTTACAGGGAGATAAGTGAACTGCTGACAGGAACACACCCCCAAAACCGCCTTTACAGAGGTTTACATGCATTCAGTTGTGGCATCTTCAGAGTAAAGCTGACTAAATACAGGCAGAAGCAGACAAGGCAATTCTGCTGCTGCCACAGTCTAAAGCCAAGCACACTTTGAGTCTTCAGTTGTGAGACAATGGCTACATCAGTGCTTTCTTGCAGCAGCTCCAGCTTGAATTAATTTCTCTTGGGGAAAAGAGAAATGTCCCCCCAGTACCTCAAGTCCCACAGGCACCTTCTATACTTCTAGGTACTAATGCTTTCCCATGTTCAATATGTTTTGCTGTGGATGTATTTTAACAATGACTTTGTCCTCTCCCTAATGTATGGACAGACCAAAGTCTTCCTAAAACATGCCATAATTAGGTTTCTCTTTCATTTCCACACAAGTTTATGGTAAAAACCCTTACTAGTCTCCATTTCTGTGACCTTTCTTGCTGATTCTATTACACCAACCACACAGTCACTCTCCTACTCCTCCTGTTTCAGCTTCCAAAACTTTCACTAATTAACAATAGCTCAAATTGTGTTACATACAAAATCCATTGGTAAATGCTTACTTAGAAAAATCCCAGGCTATCCAAAAAACCTCTCAAGACAGACTGTGGCTCGGCAGCAGCAGGAAGGCAGGAGGAAGCCCTACGGCTGGTGAGTACGCCAGACCTGGATGACAAATCTGGGACAGAGGCATGGCTCTTTAAGCATGGGGCTACAGGAATAGCATTAACACCACCAGAGAATGCTGACTTCAAAGGCAGCACCCAGAACAAGCGTTCTTGATGCCAAGTGACAGCATATGAGAAAGGATCAAAGGAGCTGTGGAGGGGAAAAAAACACAAACAAACAAACAAAAAAAACGACCACAAAAAACCCCCCACAACTTACACCAAGAGTTAGGCAGGTGTTCAGCATGGATTTCATACTCACTGAGAGTCAAGTTACAGAAAAGTGTCACATTTACTAGATGTTTCCTGGATCCAGCTTTACTGGACAGCCAGTTGCTGTCTGTGACACTGATATTGAAGAGCTGATCATTTTACTAAGCAGGTTATTCACCTGAAACATACTGTGAAGGTATGAACTCTCAAAGGACTATATTAATATCACTGGAGTTACTGCAGAAAGCACCTGTGGCAAAAACGTTGGCTTAAAAGACAAGAAGACTATAAGGAGCATGTGTCTTCTCCCTTGCTTTGGAACTTCCTTTATCTTCATAGTAAAAGCAGAACTGATGGAAAGAATAGAGGCTTCTATCATGGGCTGCAATAGCAACAAAAACATTATGCAAGGACAGAAAAAGGCAGTGGAACAGTCGATAGACATCAGTGCAGACTGGAATGAAGCAATGTGGTCCTGTAACATACATGACAAAGTCAGCCTTGGGATACAAACCTGAACAGAAGGAAACAAACTCTCTCACCTATACTTGCAGTTGTGTTTTGCAATACCATGTTTTACATAGATCTCAAAACTTCCAACTTTTACAATTTCAGATAGTGTCTAAAAAAAAAAAGTCTCATCTTACACTGTGTCAGTTTTCTAGCATCAAATATTTCACACATACATGTGTTCCTCATGCCATTTTAACACGGCAATGCAAGCACTGAATTACCTGTGGAAATACATGAAGACTCGACCTCAGGAGAGAAGGATTATAAATAAGTGGTACAAACCAACAAGGGAATCCCCCTGTTCATCTCCCACCACCAGAGGGCCCACTTAATTAAAGCGCTTTAAAGGCTAACAAGGAAGTTCAGTCTTCTACGGGACTTCTCAAATTCACACCCATCAAAAGTAGTTCCACAGGGACCAGGCAGGCCCCACAGTCTCATCTGGCAAGCCCCACAATGTACTCTGCTAGCTTCAACTTCTGCACCGAGGGCAGTAACCCAGAGGCCAGAATGACCAAATCAAAAAAGAAAGGGTGAGCAATTACACAAAGCAGCAAGGTGGATGTACTCACAGCAAAATACAAAAATCTCAGTGCAAATATCCTTCTCGCCTACACAAAATCAAGGAGATTCGGAGGCAGCTTGATTCTGTCCTCCTTACTCATGCCTTACTCCCTTTAAAGCTGTCTTCGGATTTTGGCTGTAAGCTATTAGGGCTACAATACACACCAGAGCGTTAGTTACAACTGCTAAGGGTACCTTTTGGTGGTGGTGGAGTTGTGGCTATTTTCCTGCCCAAAAACCTTAAGCAAAATACTGCCATAGTATTATCTTTACCTTAAAAGGGGTCTGTGAGTTAAGGGCCTTTCAGCTGCAACTTGAAAATGTTTAGACAGGCAAAGGAAGACAAGTTCACACAAAACAAAATCTCACCAACTAAACTACAGTGAAATCAGGTGCATAAAAGCCTGGCATAAGAAACATGCACGAGACCATAAAGCAGATAAATGAAAGCTTCAGTGTAAGTGATCCAATTTATACCCAGTGCTCAAGCATGGAGAAGACAGCCTCCAAAAATGTTGACACTAGAGGTCAGTATAAGATTTTATTGAAGAAAAACTCCAGTAGAAAGCTCTGATAACTTTTGATGAATAACACAAAGTCCTATTCTTGTTTACATAAAGCAACATCTACATTTTTCTAAAACTTGATCATTAAAACCTTACAAATACATGGGGTTTGATAATTTTTAATTCCAGTGATATGCTATATTCTCCTTCATGTTTAAATAGTCTTGATTATCATGCAAATACATACCTCATCAATGGCATTTTAAGAAAACAAAGTTATCATCGAGCAATGTGTTACATAATAAAATAAACTTGAAATAAAGAAAGGTAAGATAAAATAAAAGAACCTCAAGTGGGGCAAACTAAAGACTTGGACACCAAGTAAAAAATTTCCATAAAGGTCTGAGCAGACTCTATTTTGCATGTATTTTTGTTTAATGACACTGAAAGATAATCTAATAATAAAACTGAAAGTTTAAAACGAGTGGGATTCAAGACTCAGTTAAGCAATTGTATGCTTCAATCAGAACCAGGAAACCAGGTAAAAATACAGTTATGAAAGGTAAGCTGATGGAAGTACTGCTGATACCAAACGAGGCGAGTCTACAGGTACTTAAGCAGTTACTGCTGAACAAAGCTGTCCAAAGAGGTGAAAACATCACAAGCATTTATCCTCCTCTGGGAGAAAATACATGGGATAGTTTCTAACATTTTACTCACTTGTACACTAAGCCTGGAAGTAAGACCAAGATGGTAAGAATGTCAAAATTACTCATGGGACAAGTCAACAGAACAGGAAGTGCACTTTTTAAGTGGCTAAGACACCATTCTTTACATTGAACTGTATCTAAAACTATTTAAAGGTCAGGGCAATTACTGTATCCCAAAGGCAACTAGAGTCAAGAAATACTAACACAATAGAATAAGATTTAGGTATTTGCACTACAGTGCACATTTTGAGCGTTCAAATTCTGAATATCACAGCTATATTCTATAACAACGTCATTATTTTGCAACTTAAAACTTACCATGATTGACAGCTAACACTTTCCGACTGTTCATCTTGACAAAGTTTCCAAGCGGGAGCTGTGCATGACCAATTCCCTGCTCTACAGCTTTTTTGTAAGTAACACCCTGTGGGAAAGACACCAAAACCACTGGACTGAAAATCACCATTTCAGATCAGCCCATACAGATTACTACAAGTATAATTTTCCGGCAACAGTTTTGCCAGTGCTGCCATGATCTTGCTTTAGAAGATATTCACAAAAAGAAATTTACCCCGGTTAGACGGTACTTGCTTCAAGGGCTACCTTTGGAAAGCTCACTACTTTGAATATATGTCACACTGATGTATGGTCAAAAGGATCATAAATAAAACTTGTTCATGTAGCTGCAGCTCTAGAACCTGTCAGCCATAGCCTGTTCTAAAGGTGAGTTTATGCTTAAGTACAAAGTTACTCAAATTACAGTAATGTTGGTTTTCTTTCCAGAGGAAGAGTAAGGATACAGAAATTTTGTTCGCTTTTTTTAAATGTAGCAACCCTGTGCCCAAAAGAGGCAAAAAAAACCCTTTAAAATTGTGCAAACACTTTCTACTGTAACGACTACATACAGGATCTGGTTTAGCTCCCTCCTAGCCTTTAACTGTAGACTAAATGCTGAAATGTCATTTGGTAAGGCTTAAGATCCATCCCTTTTTTTAGCATCACATTTAAATATTAAACATGTCACCAGAAATTACATAGGAGCATCTCTGAAGAAAAGTGGTAGCAGTGCTTTAGTTTCCCAGTTGCACTCTTTATGACATTCCAGGTCCACACAGCATGATCCCACGTACAGGTGTGGAACCAGACCCCCAAGACATGTGTGCTACTTAGCCAAGTTCTCCCAACAAGCAAACAATTAAAAAAAGGACATCAAAGATTCAACCGCTGTTCTTCATCTATATTTGGGCATGTGCACACACAAGCATGCACACACACACACGTACACACGTGCATGAACAGAAACCAAACCCTTCTGTCTGAAAATATGGCCATCTGTAAGCTGAGCAGTGTTATTAATTCCATTTCTATATTTAAAATGAAAAGATTAAATCCTAAAAAGCTCAGCATGTCTGCACTCTGGAACACAAGCCACCGCTACTACCACAAGGGGGGGTTTTTCCCCATTTCTTCAAAATTTTTTTGAAGTCCTTTTTGAAGTTTTTTTGTTATTTATTGTTAGTTTATACATGAACAGCATTAATGTCAAATAAGGTACCAAAAAAAAAAAAAAAAAAAAAAAAAGGCCCACAGTTTACCTTGTGGTGATTGTGATCCACCAGTCCTCCAATCACATAGGCTTTCTTCTCATCAAGCTCACTGAGAACGTCTGGGGAATCTGAGGTAAGATATACTAGGTCTTCTTTCTTTATTAGTTCACTATAGTGCTCTGTTCTAATTTGGATATCCTCAAAAAAAAGGTAGTTAAAAGAAGTTACATTCAACTGATTAATTGCTAGGTAAGCTTTACAGACCCAAGATGGAACCAGCAAAAATAAATCCAATAGTATACAGGCATTCCACATCCCTCATTCACGTTTAAGTATGAAACACAGCACAGATTGATTTCTGCAGAAATAATCCGCAGTCCCTACAGCACTGACTTGTCAAAATCATCAGGAAATTTTCTGAAACCCCAGAAGAACTTTATAAATCCTAAAGTTGTTGTGATTCCCTTCAAATGTCACCATATTTCTCCTAGGGATCCAAACAATTTTCATGTCCACCTTTCTAAAAAAAAGTGAAACCAGAAGTAAATCCTTAGTTAACATTACTTGTTTGATGAGAGGTCTATGCTATGCCTTTGCAAAGCAGCTATTGCCCAAGACATGCTGAAAGTAGAACTTTTTTTATTTATGCAAAGTGCTCTTCATATGAAGTTGTTGGAATACTCGTTTAACAGGGAGTCACAAAGAAAACTAACATCAGTTTGACCATTAGACAAGCTACTTCTCTAAGATCACTTCAGTGTTGAGAGGCAACATAATGGAAATGGAAGCGAAGGTGCACACAAGAGAATCGCATCATGACTTCAAAGTAATTTTTCGCCAAGGAAATAAAAGGGCACTGCCAAGACAGACAACTGTCAGAACTGCCTAAATTAAGTAGTCTTGCTTAGTCTGTTAGAGAATAGAATCTGTTCAATAAAACCAGGTGAACGCGGACACATGTGGAGCTTTGCAAGCAAAAATAAAATCTAGGTTCATGACGAGCAGTCTTTGGCTTATTTAAGTTAAATGAATTAAAAGCGCAAAGAGCTACGCTATTTCTAATATGCAATTGTTCTGATGTTTTAGGAAAACCCAGGTAGAAAAAGCACAGGTCCTTCATAACTAACAACCTAGTTAGCAACTATAATCAAGAATTCTTTATCTCTTTTTACAGAAATAGTCAATTATTCACCTTCCAGTTCACCCATCCTTTGTCATTTTCATTCATGTTGCTCTTCAACTGTCCCCCATGGCTGGTCAAGTAAAACTTCAAAAAGAACAAACAAGAGGTACAAAATACTGAAACGTTAATGCACCAGTCTGTTTCCTACCTATACAAGACTTTTTCCACCCTTAACTATTAGCTAAAACTCTTAATTATTTTTAGCTGGAAGTGGTAGTAAGACCATATTCATACAGTTAGTGACCCACCAAAGAGACAACTATGCACTTAAAGTCATGTTTTGTTTTTTTAAAATCTGTCACAGACAAAACCGAGTATCAACAGTATCTCAGCGGCATGCCAGCATCTGGCACTCTTCATCTGCATGCACATACTTTTTCACATATACAGGGATTTTTATAACATGTGGGTTGAAAACTGATCTATTACAATAGAAGTAATTTTCTTATTAAAATGAAGCAGCTTAAGTATTCTTTTTCTACTACAGTTCTCAGCACTTGGGCTTTCTCACATGGTTTTTACATGGCAATACAGTCAGTGTCCAGTCTGTTTAAACATACCTGCACAGGATGAAACGCTTTGCGGTTTTCTGCATAACATCTCTGAATTTGCTTGTGAAGCTTCTTAACATCCTGTAAATAACACAATTTATTTTTACATAGTCTTGCAGACAGAGCATGACAAAATGCTTTACCATGAGCCAGTCACATGCTAAAGAGAGAAAAAGGAGTCTTTTAACTGGCAAAAGTGATTACTGAGAGAGCGTGGACATCAGACCCTGAGAGGAAAAACAGCCATCGTGAAAGGATTATGCTGATAAGGAAACACACATCTTCCACAAAAGTGTATTTAGACACCTTCATGCATGTGCTTGATTTGCATTAGCCTAGGAAACAAACAAAACAAACAAACAAAAATCACTGGGATTTAACTGTATGTAATAACACACTCAAAATTAATCTGAGAAAACAAGGAGATTTATCACTGTGACAATATTGAGTCCTTCACCCATGGGAAAACCCTGAGAATATATAGTTTATATTTAAGAAAACTGAATACGCGTAACTAACCTGAAGAAACCCAGAACAATGCAAATAATCTAGTGGCTGGCTCCAGCATTTTGACATGACAATTTGGACAACAGTTAACTAGTACTACTTAAAATGCAGCAGACTTAATTTTTAGCCAATTGTGGTTTTTATAAGGTACGTAGCTTTATTCCCAGTGCCCCAAAAGCAATGTTTTGTGAATGTAACTGATTCTCAAATCACAATATGAATCAAAGCAATATAGTGATGTTTCATTTTAAAATGAGAATGTTTCGATACCTCCAAAGGATTTCAAGTAAACTAGACTTTATCACTACAATATTGCAATGTCACTTTTTACAGACACTAGAGAAAGCATCTATTTAATCCCATTGCTAAAGGCCACAACCATCTTCACTTACAACACTTCACCCTTCCTAAAATACTTGCAAAAGTGCCAGGTTTTATATCAGGCCTAATAGGGGCTCTGCCTGACCAAGGAAGGAAATGTATTTTACAAAGAACAAAGCTCAACAAGAACCACCCAGTCAGCATCTCTGAAACTATCAATGGGGTCCTTTGGTCTCTCCTAGGGCACTACTTAAGGGCTCCTCAGGGAACAATGGTCCAAAACACCAGCTGGAGCTTCCCCAAAACTTAGTGGTGAGCAGCACCACCCTCCATTAGTGCTATACATGCTCTGCATTACACTCAAAAAACAGCCAGACAGGATTGGCAAAAGATTGAATTCATGCAGTCTTGCATGGCAGCAAAGTCCCTGGCAGCGGAAAAAGGGCGCAGGGTAACAAGGAGGGGAGAGGTCTGCCTCAGAAACCAGAGGCTGCACTCTTACAGCAGGCTGCAGAATATCATACTTTCCTAGCAGAGTTAAAGCTGTTTTGATCTCAAAACACCACACCACGTATCTTGACCAGTGGGTGGGTATCATGCTGATCTTTCTCCTATTTACCCATCCCATGATCATCTCACCCGTTCTTTTGACCATTCTAAAATTTTAGAGATGGGCTGAATAGTGTCCTCCTGTCCCAACTGCCTCTTGCGTGACTGAGAGAAAAAGCTCAGTATCCTCATAGTGCTCAAAATTCTCATTTCCACAGATTCTAACGTGGTTGGGAGCTTCAGGTCTGCTATGAAAAAGAAAGTAACTGGATCAGGCATTTGCAGCCCCTCTAGCAAAACCATTTTGAGGCAGAACTGCATCTAACTTCACGGTGAACATGTAGCACAAACTGTTTCTATACTCCTGTTCTTGGAATCAAACCAACTTAACGCATCTCCACAAACGCAAACAAAATCTTTGGCAAGATTATATAGAGCTTATATAAATGTTCCAAACCCTAAAGAATTCAGCAACTGACATAAGCAGGTCTGGGAGTCTTCACAATCTGAAACATGCTAACTGTCCTCTGCAAGCTGCTCTCCAGCTTTTGTGCTCTGACGTTGCATCAACACTGTCACTGGAGAACCTTTCAACATTTCTATGTGATGGATTTCTTTTACCTTTAACACCATCAGGTTATCAAAGCTGCAGTCCACAATGAGGCGAAGTGTACTAGGAACAACTTCCCCTCGTATACGCTTTCTGTCATTCCCTTCGTTATTGGTGTCCAACTTTGACTGACGTTCTAGTTTTCTCTTCTGGCGTTTTTCTTTCCGTTTCTGCCTAAATATATAAACAAATAAATAAATCTTAAAAAACTGCTGCCAAATCTGCTAAGGTACATGTTATGCACATAAAGACATACTTCTATGATCAAGGTGCTTGTCCCATGACTGTGGTAGTTGAAACTTATCCTGTTGCTTGCATTGGTGCTAGGCTGGTAACAGCATGAAACACATACCCCGTCTTTGTGAAGTTCTGTATAGACCTACAAAGACAGACATCTGACACCAATTCAATGAAGTCAACAGCAGGAGTCTCGTGGATTTAAGGCTGCTCTGAGTCAGGTCTCATAACAGAAACAACCAAAAAGATTGCCAAAATTGCAGCATCAGAATCAGAATGTGGAAGGCAATTTACCCCTGGTTTCACTGAACAGTTTTTCAAAAGGCTTCTGAAGCAATTGTTTCTTCCCCCGTTCTCCCAATGGGAGCAGGCAGTTGAGAGATCAAATTTTGAAGATAGCAACTTTATCAGCCACTGTCTCAGGAAGGAACCGTTCACATTCAGCAGCACAAGGATAAACCACAATCAGCCCATTTGCAGAGATATGCTTTCTCTCAACAGAATAAAATAGAAGCTCATCATCTCATCCCTTAAAGTGTTTAAAGGTCTTTTAGATGTGGTGTTTGGAGACATGGTTTAGGGGTGTACTTGGCAGAGTAGGGTTGATGGTTGGACTTGATGATCTCAAAGGTCTTTTCCAACCTGAACGATTCTATGACCTTCCAAAATCATTTTAACCGATTATAGGTCAGCATAACTTACAGCACAGCATTTCACATGTCAAAAGAATTTTTATTTATTCACTGTCTTTGTAAGATTCACCAAGTCTGACAGCACTTTAGAGTGCAGCCCATTCAGAAAGGAACAAGGCCACACATTATTTCTCCCTTCTGATAAACCAAAATCATGCAAATTTGAATCCCTCCTGATATCCTCTTCAAGTTGAGGAACACTTCTAGTATGAAGAGAGGATGCTTACCTTTCTAGCTTCTTCATATGCAGATGGAGTAGCCTGTGACTACTGCTTTAAACCTGGCATAGGAGAAAACTGGTTCAACTGCCTTGATTTGCTAAAGCAATCTACATGCAAATTCTGCTGACATATCATTGTTATTATTAGCACTAAATACTACACATGATCCTAGGAAAGCCGTTTTGCAAACCATACCTCCGTAGATCCTTCTGTTCTTCCCACTGTTTCTGCTTCAATAGCTTCTTCCTTTGCCTCTTGGACACGGGCTTAAGGCATTCTTCCTGGTCTGAGCCCGCCTCCCATCTCTGTACTGCGTTGTCACTTGACTTTATCTTTCCTTCCACATCAGGAATTTCAGGGGACACGGTATTTTCTGTTGGCATCTCTGGACTCTCTGTCGGTATTTCTGACGACATTAGCTTTTGGATGGGTTTACTGACTTGTTTCTCAACACGTAATAAATATTTTATTAAACCCAAACTTTTCTCTCACCAATTCTGTAAGAAACAAATCAACAGTATGTGTTATTAACAAGAAGTTCAACTAGAGCAAGTATCACTCTACACCTACCACAAACCTGAATAAAGAAAAAATAACAAATAAGAGATGGCTTTTTTTTCTTTAAAACTAGGTTGGTGCCTCTGCAAATAGTAACATATAAAATACTAGGGAGATTATAACCTGTATTCAGATCATGTCCAAAACTCTGCCTGACACATCTGCAGCTACTCATCTGCTTCCAAGTATCAACTTTGTGAAAACACAACTGCACAAAAGTAGGAAATCATACTGGATTAAACTAAAAAAAAAAAAAAACAAACCATCAGCAGTACTATTATGTGTACACAAACTATTCTCAAATACACAAAGTTAAAGAGATATCTTGCAACATAACTATGGCAGCATGCTAGAGAACTAAAATTGTAAAGAGACTAAAGCCATTTTTAGTAGAACAAAAAGTATGAACAAGCTGTATCCCTTTGAAATTAATTTTTATTTCTTCTGAGAACCAAAGACACTGGCCAACCACTGACGCTGGCTACTGTCAGTGGACAGAAGACAGCAAGTAAGGGGATGCACAGACTAAGCTGTTACTCAGCAAAACCTCCTGCGTTCAAACCAATTGCAATTATACCCTCCCCTTTTCAATGGCAAGCATTATTTTTTCAAACTAGTAGCTCCCCTGTGCTCAACAGCCACATAGTTTTCCAGAGATAACTACTTCACCAGAGAACACTGCAACTACAGAGCCAACAAGGAGAAAAAACCATCCCCTGACTGCTTCAGTAACAGAAGAGCCAGAAAACACACAAAGTACCATGAAGCCAGCGGTGTTCTAGCTAACACACCCCCGTTTCCCTGTCTGGGGCTGTTAAGACATAAGGCCCAGGGAGCAGAGATGGCTGTGGGTGCCAAACGGCACGGCCTCCCAGAGCAGGGGTGCACCTGCGGCCACCACAGCCCGCACATACCCACTTCTGTACGTACACCTGCGGATGTATATATAGGTACGAATACGTATACACACATACATCTATATATACACACATATCTATGTATGCACACACCATATATATAAACACACGCGTTATTTTTGCTCACGCACTTAAGCGCCTCATAACTCCACAGCACCGGCCGCCCACAAGGGCCCGGGGGGACCGCGACCCACCCCCAGACGGCAGCGACAGCCGGGCGTGGGGAGG